CTCTGGAGGTTCTGGAGGCTCTGGAGGTGGTAAGCATGGTAAGGACCCCTCTGTCCCCTCACCTCTTAGAGGGCAACTTGTCCCTATTGCAACATGGATGGTAAGGGGATACAATACTCCTGTTGCACTCCAGCCAGGATTCACCTTGCACTCAACACCAGCAGGGAATGCAAAAGTAGTACAAAAATAGTTTATTGAGAAAAGTATATATATAAAGGAAATATCCTCATAAGAAATAAGAAAGGCAAATCCAATATTTAATGAGAAAAAGAATCAACAAGTTCTAAGTCAAACCAAACTGGCAATAGAAAAAAAAACACTCCAAAGGTAATAATCCAAAGTGTCTAAATCTGTTCCATAAAATAAAGTACAGGAAAACCAGAATCAAACTTGAGCATAAATCCAGAAAAACAAGAATTAATGCATGAACATGAATCCAAAAGCAAGACTATAGAAACATCTTAAGACATGAATCCAAACTCCCAAGATCTTAGACTCAAAACATGAACTGAAAACAAGGATTGAGATCATCACTACTTTGCAGTGTTGCCTGATCTGAATTTTCAATGAAACTATTATCTGATTTGAGGTTTAAAGACATGAAGTCATGCCTGTGACTTTGACTGCCTTGCCTGTGAGATTTCTCATGTTGCTGTTTCTCACGGAGTCTCTGATACTTTCTTAATTTGCTTGATTCTTCTTTAAAATGAAACCTGAGATTTCTGCTGACCGCAGATGTGTTTTCAAATGAACTTGCTTCCCCATCCAACTCCTTATCTGGAGTTGCTATGAGACGACTAAGCGAAAAGCATTTCCCTGACTGCTGGACTCAGAGGCAGTTTCACTTTTAAGCCCATTCTTGCACACAGGATCTAAACTCCTCTCATTTCCCGCACTGGAAAACCCATCCACTCTCCCAGTCCATGGAATAACAGTCCCCTCATCGTCATCAGCTGGCTAAATCACAACAACTCCTTTGAATTAGGAGCAAGGATGGAGGATGAGACATTGATTTGTAGACATCAAGATGGTGGATTATGTTCTTGAATTGAGGGTGACACCCAACGGCTTTTGAGGAACCTTGATGCGGAATTTGGTTCGTCTTCAGTGGGGTCCCTAAGAGCTTGCAAGCCAAAATGTGATTATAGGCAGTGTCTGGCAGCCCTGGCTCCAACCCCTTCCCTTTGTCTCTTCTAGGTGAGTCCAAGAGACCCCCAAAACTGCCTACATTTGGGGAGTTCCTGTCTGAGCAGCAACCAGATCGGCGCAGGAGAGGCAGAGGAAGGGGCCGTGGGCGCCCACGGGGCAGTGGTCCCTCCAAACCCTACAGGTGAGGCCCTGGCAGATCTTGGTAGGCAGCACTTTTTATATGCCTATGTACTTGTGTATTTTATGTGTGTTGTACTTCCGAGATGTGCTCCCTTCGGGGAGATGGTGATGGAATATAAATAAAGTTTTATTATTATTTTATTATAGCACTAGCTCTAGATCTGCATTGGACACTGTTTTGTTTTTATTTTAGCTCTTGTTTGGGGTGGGCCCAGATGAGGGGTTAAGGAAGAGGC